GTTTGGATGCACTCGAAACATGTTTAGACGAACTCTAAACATGTTTCGAGGCACTCTAAATTTGGTTCGATCTAAACATGTTTCGCCGCACTCTAAAAATGTTTTAATGCACTCTAAACATGTTTGGATGAACTCGAAACATGTTTAGACGAACTCTAAACATGTTTCGAGGCACTCTAAATTTGGTTCGACACACTCTAAAAATGTTTTAATGCATTCTAAACATGTTTGGATGCACTCTTAGTATGTTTTGACGCACTTTAAACAAGTTTGGATGCGCTCTAAATATGTTTCGGCGTGCTCTAAACATGTTTCGACGAACTCTAAACATATTTTATTGCGCTCTAAACATGTTTCGACGCACTTTAAACATGTTTTGACGCACTTTAAAAATGTTTTGATGCACTCTAGACATGTTTGGATGCACTCTAAAAGTGTTTGGACGCACTCTATACGTGTTTCGACGCACTCTAAGTATGTTTGGATGCACTCTAAACATGTTTCGACACATTCTAAAAATATTTCGATGCACTCTAAACATGTTTGGATGCTCTCTAAAAGTGTTTAGACGCATCTAAACGTGTTTAGACGCACTCTAAACGTGTTTAGACGCACTCTAAACGTGTTTGAACGCACTCTAAACGTGTTTGGATGCACTCTAAGTATGTTTGGATGCACTCTAAACATGTTTCGACGCACTCTTAAAATATTTCGATGCTCTCTAAATATGTATATGTAGGATGCACTCTAAGTATGTTTTGACGCACTTTAAACATGTTTGGATGCACTCTAAATGTGTTTGGACGTACTCTAAACATTATTTGGTGCACTCAAAACATGTTTAGACGAACTCTAAACATGTTTCGACGCACTCTAAAAGTGTCTTAATGCACTCTAAACACTCCAAACATGTTTAGATAAACTCTAAACATGGTTCGACACACTCTAAAAGTATGTTTTGATGCACTCTAGACATGTTTGGATGCACTCTAAAAGTGTTTGGACGCACTCTATACGTGTTTCGACGCACTCTAAGTATGTTTGGATGCACTCTAAACATGTTTCGACACATTCTAAAAATATTTCGATGCACTCTAAACATGTTTGGATGCACTCTAAACATGTTTAGACGAACTCTAAACATGTTCCGACGCACTCTAAAAGTGTTTTAATGCACTCTAAACATGTTTGGATACACCCTTAGTATGTTTTGACGCACTTTAAACAAGTTTGGATGCGCTCTAAATATGTTTC